TCCGTAAGTTTCGAAGGAAAAGCCGTCGGCCGAAATCCTTTTAGGCTTTTTACCTACTCGAGGTCCCCTATCGAATGATGTATGAATGAACGAAATCGGAGCGGGGCACCTGGGGGTGTTCCCTCGTCAGAATATCTGCTTGATTTCCAAAATACGTGATTAGATCAAATGAAAAAGTGAAAATACCCTTCGCGACATAATTGCGTCCGTTTATGCCATATTTCATTGTAAAAAAAGTTAAACTGAATGACGAAGTTGCTTAGAAAAGATAATTTCAATGGGAATAGATAGCTTTACACGCGTTCTATTAAAATAGCTCCAAAATAACGTTCACTCGTTTAGCCTAAGGACAAAACTGCTTTCAAAAACTGGTTTCTAGAAGTCTCTTTAACTTGTAGAATCTCTCCAGAATGTCGGAATGTTTGTAGTCGATGTACACTTCATACTGATGACTATATAGAAAAAGCTGAAAGAGTTTCAGCATGTCTCAACAGAGATTAATGTGAGACCATCTGTTCGATTGAAACGGACACCAATAGTATGAGAATCATTCATATATTATTCAAATTTAACGAATTGATTTAGTTTTTTGTTTTAGATGAAGTGACATACCATCATGAATTCTAGGAGTAGAAGCTATTGTTATTAAATGATTAAAATGATTTTTAAATAAGAATTTTAAACAATACTTAATTATAATTTGTTTGAATTCTTTTCGAAATGTTTTTGATATGAATAAATAAATATAAAATGGAAAAGTAACATTTATATAAACTAAAGTACCAGTTGCTAATTCTGTAATAAAAGCTTCTATTGCTACTATTGTATTACTCTTTTCTACGTTATCTGTTATTGCTTCGTATAATGTAACAGGTGGATATAATAATGTTGAACATATATAAATGATAACTTGCAGCCATAACATCCTTATTAATTGATAATCTCTTTGTTTTATATGTAAATAATTTGTTCCTGTTGTTCTTGTTGTTGCCGGCTGAATTCTTTTTCTTGTTTGTTTTAAATTATTTAATATTAACAATGTAAATAAGATCATAAATAATGGTGGTAATATAGCAGCAAATATAACAGCATAGATACTAAAGAATAATGTATAAAATCCTATTTGTATACATCTGTTGTGCTCTATTGTCTGAAATAAAATTATATGAATCGGAATAATAAACCAGACAAGACCTGTTACAGGTATTAAATGATAAGCTACTTTCGAACGACTAAATTGACGATATCTAACATGTATTGAACATAATGCATATCGATCTATACATGCTAATACAATATAATATCTAGATAACATAATTAACGAATGAAATACATAAAATTTCAACTTACAGAATAATAATGAATATGTTGACGGATCTATATTAATAAATGAATAAAAACGTGGTATGAAAGCCATATGTAATGTTAGGATATTAGTAATAGATGATGCTAAAAAGTACATTGAACATGAACTTTTTCTAGATTGTTTTTGTGAAAATATAATACTATTAAATACCGAACCTATAACACCAAATATATAAAATAATATACTAGTATATATATTGACTTGTTCTTGAATATAATTTAATGTAGAAATCAATTCAACTGCTGCTGATGAATTTGCTGACATTCTATTTCCTGTCGACAATCGTTTTTAAAATCTTAAAACCTAAAAAAATTGTAAAAGCAAGAGTTGACGTGTCGTTGCGTTTTTCCTTAATTTAATGAACTTTTTATACTTTTATTTGAATAAAATGAGAGCAGCGAGAATAAGAACAATAAATTGAATGACGCGTTTTCATTTCTTTTGCAAACTTCATGTATGCTGAGTCCCAGAAGTAATTCGCTCAAACTTTATCTTCGCTTCCCCTTTTCGATTGAAATATCTTGAACAAGTCTAATAAACGATTTGACGAGTTCAAAGAGGTTCCAATTAGAGGCGGTGTGTATGAAGGTTTTATCAACATTTCTGGAATCAGAGCCTTAGAAAACAAAGTCATCCAGTTCGATCGAGAAACATACAGAAAACCGTTTTATCGTTTAGAGCCAACATTTCTTAACAATCAGGGTTTTAAAAAGCGTGTAATAAAGTGTGAAATCGAGCGTCAAAGGAAAAGAAACGTTCAAAAACATCGTGGAGTTGAAAACTGATGAGAAAAAAGCGTGGGTTCCAGATCGTAGAGAAGAAACCGTTGAATAAAATCCGTAGATGTCAAAAGCGTGGAGAAATCCCATAGAAGTGAAAACTGTCAAATAAAACTCCTGTCTTAAAATTCGTCAACTGAATAACTTACCTCTCCGAATAAAATATGGGAGACAACCCGTGAACATAGAAGTGGCTGACCTCTTTTTTTGTAATATATAAAACTCAAGTATAAACAGCATCAGTTAAACTTGTTTCAGCTCCATTTGTCTTTTCCGCTAGTAAATAGGTCATTAAAACTTGACAAGTAGCCACATTGAGGATTAGTATCATACTTCAAGACACATTTATTCCGACTGCGCAGCTTACTAAGTACAGTGAAAGATGTTTTGCGAATTTAAAAGCCCAGTTAGATGAATTGAGTGAACGAGAACACATGTACACAACTATTATGGAAAAAAACTATCTACTAAATATTCGTTGAGAAAAAAACATGAAGGAAAGACTGTGGAAAACATCGTGGAAGAAAAGAATAGATTGATGGAAACATTAAGAATATAAATAGGGAAAAAAATAGAAAACAGACACTGAGAAACTATGAAAAAAAGCGATTGAATTTCTACAGTTTTGATTTCGCTGTGTCTGTAAATGACAATTTCTGTAATTCTGTATTTTTCAATCCATCTTCGCCTGCTAAGAACTGATATTAATTTTAAATTTGCTTTCATTTGAAAAAGCTATTGTCAGACGGTGGATATTCATTGTGAAGGAGGAGCGGAGTTGTAGAACAGTAGTCAACCGTTTAAGTAAAGCATGTATGGATGTTGAGTCCACACGAGACTCAGATTATCATTACTATCTTAATCAGACAGAACAGGTCATCAGATACTCCACAGTATTTACAATCAGCATCCAGTTTTTGAAATCAGTTTTGTCCATTGGCTAAACGAGTGAACGTTATTTTGGAGCTATTTTAATAGAACGCGTGTAAAGCTATCTATTCCCATTGAAATTATCTTTTCTAAGCAACTTCGTCATTCAGTTTAACCTTTTCACAATGAAATATGGCATAAACGGACGCAATTATGTCGCGAAGGGTATTTTCACTTTTTCATTTGATCTAATCACGTATTTTGGAAATCAAGCAGATATTCTGAGATCTAGCGCAAAGCTACATAACTTTTATGTAAATCATTTTCTTCTATGGGATGTTTATTTCATAGAAAAATCAGAAACTTTACATACATTTTAAAAGACATTCCATTTTTTTGAAATTCCATCACGGGCTCTATTTTCCTCATAAGTTGTGTTTGGGTCAATGAAATGGGCGAAGTTTTTTGTGCGAGTAGAACTCACAATTCTCTATCCGTGATGAAAGTTTTAAAAGCTTCGGTTGCGCCGCTCGCGACTTATCAGTCAGTGAAGGAAAAAAATGGAATTCTGTCCCGCTTAGCCACGCCGTATAGCGAATTAAGTCTGTGAATTACGATAGCGATAAAATATGGAACGTTGAATTAGAATTAAGTAGAGAAGATAATCAACGTTGCATTGATTCACATGTCACTTGCAGTGACGCCCTCCCGTGACGATTAGTTATCTTGTACAGAAAACGGCATGTTTTTGATTTATGCTGGTCTTTCTAGTTAATTATAAAACACTTCAACAGATATCAGAAAAGCATTTTCAAAAGCCAACCACAGCCTATACAGTTATAAGAAAATAAAGATTTTAAATTAATAATTAATCAAATAGATAATGATAATTTTAATGGTTACGTATTTTGTGGTTGTAGTGGAAAGATCAAATTATTTTTCTATAATCAAAAATTCCAACTGACAAATTATAATAATTATAATAATTATAATCGGCTTACAATATTTGCCAAAACTTTATATTTCAACATTGAGGGAGTTCCATCTCTTCCGCAAATTAATGTAAATATAATGAAGAACCCTTCTGATTTCAGTTACTATTTAAAATATATCTTTAATATTTAATTCCATATCATTGTTTTGATATAGCAAAACCTTGAGTGTCCATTTGAGCATTCTGAACAGTGAATAAAATATTGCGTCAGAACACACTTACACAGAAAACAGCACACAACTAATGATGTTTTAAATGTAGTGTGCATCAAGGGCTAACTGCATCGGTTTATCGCATCTTTTCTAACGCATTCCAGTATTGGCTTTATCTAAAGAATCATATACCTGTCATTTTAGGTCATTCTGACGTAAAGAACAGAGATATATAAATAGGAAAAACACCAGTGCGACAGACATGGAGCGCCCTCTCAGTAAAAGTAATGAGTACCAACGAACTTTTATCTTACAAAGGAAAACTTTTACAAAGTGAACATCTTTTAGTAAATACTTTGACTAGGGCTCAAAGTTGTCCATTTTGTAATTATTAACCAGTAGCAAGATCTACTAAACTCAGTTCTCTCACTATTGGCTCAATTTCGATTGGTTTGTGGTAACTGTTAGCCAGTTGACAAAATAAATGCCATAAGGATGTTTCGAACTCTACTGATTTCTATTTAATGAGCAGCAAAGACTGTTTAGGGTATACCATTTAGATTTATTTTCTAATATATACACAAAATATCAAAGAAGTCATAGGTTAACTCCATTGCACAGTGTTTTTAACCAGCAGAAAGCTGCGATTTTAGTCACAGATTTTAATGCCCTGTGGGAGTGTTATCTATTACTTTGATTTGCTAGCTGTGAGAGAACGTTGCTATGTCTCTATCCTAATATTCTACGATAGTAAATTTGATGAGCATGTGGCTTTGAAATTACTACAACTACAAGTTATTTTTTATGTGGTTTTAGTAGAAAAAGCCATTGTAGGTGTACTGTGAACTTAAATCTCTATCAAAGCTTTGCTTGACTGTCATGTTCCTTAAAAGAAACTAACTACAACGTGGTTTAGTTAGTTTGCTCTCTAGCCGACTTTAATTCGGACTCTCGGCGAAATTAACTGCTTTAGTACCAGAAATGTTTATTTATATTCATACGTGTTGAAACAGCTGCTCAAAAGTAGAAAGATCTCATTAAAAAAATAACAATTCAGATATGAAAGAAATCACATAAATAAAACAAAACTATTCTGTTTTTCGAATTTTATCGACAGGTATAAATGATAAATAAAAGAAAAGTATAACATCCCCACTCATAACTAAACATAAAACACGACGTTTTCTTTTTTATCCACATTCACACGTTATGTAATTAATATGAAAATTGATGTAAGCATAGTTTATTTAACGTGGAGGCCAATCGAATCAGTATAGCGCCCACGGAATCAGCAGAGCGCCAATATGAAAATTCCGGCATATAGTTGTTATTGAGCACCGGTTTTTAAAGTGATTAGGCTTGAAATATTCAAGTTCCACGTTTACATATTTAATCTCGTTTTTCTGGACGTTTTAATTAATTACAGGAGAGATCTAAAGTAAAATTATCCTATTTTCAGGTTAACGGTACGTTAAATCGAAACTTTGGTTCCTGTTAAAAAAAGAAGATGTTAGATGCACATCAGCACTCTCTTGTTATTCCAAACTGCCAGAAAAGGTAATTTTAACACTTAGATTCTTTTACCAGTTTAATTTTAGTGAACTTAATGCATAATTTCTCTTTCAGACTTGTTTTTGGGATTTTGGATAAGGTATTTATTATGGGTCTACGTGCACGTCGTAAAGTCAAAACAACTGCAAGCCCTCCACGTAAGCATTCGGTGATCTGTTCAGTGGACTGATCTATACTTGCTTTTCTCCCTCAGCTCAAACTGAAGGACAATGTTTTGTTGTTACTTGGACTGAATCCAAGCAAATGGAAACATTCCTTCTGCTTATTTGAGAAATACAACGGCTACAACATCGTTATATAATGAGAAGGAGAAACCCAGGCGACAATCGACAACTCATAAAATGAAACAGAACGCATTATTAACAACCTGCATTCCTCCAATGAGCACCGCAACTTCGACAATACCCGTTCAATCAAGAAAATCACTTCGTAATGGCGATGACCATCAAAAATATTTGACAGGTTAATTCGAAAACTTAGCCAATAGTCGATGTTCAGTGGTACAAAACAAACTTAACAACAAAGAAAACAGTGGCAAAAATGCTAAGATAAGATAAGATTTTATTTTTACTAAAGTGCAGGATATCACAAAAAAGAACAAAAGACTTGTGGCATCCGTGGATACCCTGTGATAACCGAAAACTAAAAATTTAAAAATAAACATTATTAAA